CAATGGACAGCTGGAGATTTCCAGTGACACGAGCGACAGTGAGGGAAAGCAAGACAAAGTTGAGATATGTTTAACTTTATGCAAATCAAGAGCGACTTTCGGGAGCGACAACCAATAGGAGTGAAGTGAGTGGAGCAAGCTGACATTCAGTACAATCTATATCTCTTATTTAGAATACATACAAATGTCATTTACGTCTTTGAGTTTGTCAAGAGATTTAAAGCGCAGTTATTGAAGAGTGCGAACGTGCTCTAGTGCGCAAGAACGAGCCTATGATTGAATCTGGAAATAAAGCGAAATAACAGAACAATGAGAATTAGTTAGAACTATATTTATAGCAAAATATTCGATCTCAAACAGTTTCATTAAAAGTAGCTATTACTCCAACACCTGCGTGACTTCATCAACCAACGTGGTTGAACGACCAATTTGTGACGATGCGGTTTCGGGAAACAGTCGCGACTAGCTAGTGGATTTCTTCAACGATAGTGAAGCGGCGAGTTACGTGAGCCCAGATAGACCGGCATTTGCCCTTTTGCTGCAGATAAATAACAGCGATGGCAAACAGTGATGGCATTCATCTTTAACATTAGGCATTTTATGTACTGATTCCATTCATATTTAGACTTTTCTGAATGATGAATGTCATTCACAAACGTTACTAGGCAAACATCAGTGGGAAATCTCTTCTCTGATTATGTGTGCAATGGTGAAAAGGAGGAACAATCACTCGCATAAGATCACCGCAATTAGCAAACGACAACAATCAATTCCCGACGGACTAAATCAAGTCCTGCTCTTCATTTTTATTTTTTTCTAGTTCAAAAAGCCATTTAAATCAGATGCACGTCGCAATACAAAAGACAGATTTGATCACAATTTTGGTCAGTGCCACCTTTATAGTTGTACCTTGCTTGCAAAATGTTGTCCCAGAGATTTAGCATTGCATGAGAAGGTCCTTCTCTCTTGTCCAGGATGGGTGTGTAATGTTGTGTGTTTGGGTCACCCAAGATGAATACCAGGTATAAAGAAAACCAAGCTTGTACAACTTTCAGCCAGTAGCCCAGAACGAACAGCCAACAAACCTCCCGTCTCAGATATCAGGGCTGGTCTAAGCTTGATGTGGTCTCAAGAGAATCTACCATACGACTTGTAATCAGGACACAAATCTGTATGACTGAACAGTATGATTCGGTGATGGGCTTTTGCACACGCTCAGTGGACCCGGCCTGGACTGCCCACATCATCACACGGTTAACAAAAGCAATAATCTCCTCAGCAGAGCCAGTCTTCAGGTGATCAGCCGGATCTCCTTCTCCTCCAACGGTTTCATTCATGACTAACAGCAAAGATCTCAACCTAGAGCTGGCTAATCTTGTAGAAACACTGACATGGAACTCATTCAGCGAAGAGTAAACGGAATAATGACACTTTGAGGTAATTCTTTTGCCAAATATATGGGTTAAAACGTTAGTTTTTCTTCATGGTGCTTATCAGTTTAGAGCCTCGTTTGGTCTTTCTAACACAAGAGCCCTTGGTGGCAAGGTTTCCGAGTACAGTGGAGGTGGCGGGAGGGCGTCAACTCGAATGACCCTGCCTTTGCTGTGCCGACATTTGGTGCAATTTCTTTGGAGAATGGTTTGTGCAACCTGATGGTTCTTCTCCAGACTTCCACTGAAGTGTCAGGTTCAAACTCACACTTTTAGCCACCGTAAGTCAGCCTTACGCCACGTGGGACCAACGATCCCTGCAGGATTTCATTCTTGATTTTGAAGTCATGATCGTAAAACCAAGGTTTCGGGTAGATTTTAGACACTGAACGATGAGCATATATTGTTAAGTATTTAAATATATTTATAAAATAGAAACCTCTAGATTGGGTTTTATTGGTTGAATCGAGTGGTGAAGGATACACATGAGGTTTAAAAAAGAGAAACTAGTCATTTGCAAAATACGTGCTGGAACTGATGCATTTAATGGGATAATGTTTGGTAGTTTTAATGGCTATCAAAACTCATTTTGATTGATTGATGTTGTGTATCTGTGTCTTTTATTCTGACGAAGAGACTGTGATCATGTGCAACAGTATTTTTGATAGCTATTAAAAAGTATCAGTGGTCGCTAAAAAAACATAAAACCACAACTTATTCACACTTACTTTGATCCAATCTCACGAGTCCAAAAGATAATGGGTCTCATTCTTGAAAAACCATCAGAGTGAAATGGTGCAAATCGCCATAAATGATTACACTGAATAAAACCAATGTTTCACATAAGAATGGTTTATAGAAACGATTCAGTTCGTTCTCACGTCAACGCTCTCATTGAATAGAACGGTTCCTATCTAAAACTGCTGTTACGCACACCGAATTCATTTGTAAAACCAGTATAATAGAAACTTGCATTGAATCAGTTTAAAACCACTCTAATTTGAGTAGTCAGATTTAAGTGATGATTGTAAGAGTTTATGAACGATCACAGGCCAATTCTTAATTTTGACTGTTTTGAGGTATCCTTGATTTAGTGAATCTCAAGGTCATTTTCTTGGTCCTCACCCTTTAACTCCATGTGTTCAGATGCACTTTCACCTGCACTATGTTCCACGGATACTTGTGCGAAAGCCTGATACTTGTGAACGAGTCGGCTTTGGTCTCTCACCCCACTCTCCGTTTCTCCGAGGAGCTGAGACGTCGTGTGCAGTCCACGTTGTGTGTGTGTGTGTGTGTGTTACTACTGTGTGTGCTGTGCGGGTCGGCTGCACAGAAACCGCTTGCACTCTGCGTTAGGATGGCTGACTGATTCCTGTACTCACTGAATGTACTGTAGGACCGTTTTTAAAACAACTCATAGGATAGTCTAGTCACCTTTTGTTATTGGTCTTTAATTTGTCTAAGGTATTTTTTTGTATACAAAAGTTTACATTTTTATGTATATTTTTCTTGTGTAAAAAGATTATGTAATAAGTGTATAAACATTGTATGTAATATCTGTATATAGAGTGACAAATTTTGATTTTGTTTTTTTGATGTAAGAATTAAAATTGTGTGAATTTGCTCAGTTGTCACGGCCGTTTGGATCGGGTCTGCTGTTCTCTACACACTCGGTTGAAGACACGGGTGCTTCCTCGAATGATGCCAATAAGGGTCATCACAGCAGCGATTGCTCGGAAATGTGTTAGCCTGAGGTGAACTTTAGCACAGATTTATAGTCCTATAATCCCATAGGAATTTCTGTTGCATAACCGTGTTAAAAAGCTGATATCATTCAGAAGAGCTGTGACTCAGAGCCATTGGAGATACAGGGAAGGACAACACAAATGGTTTACTTCTAAATGAAGCATCTAATGGGTTTCCTTTTTAAAAAAACAAGTGTGTACTTAAACATTATTTTTTTTTAGCTATTCTGATTGCTTGTTGTTTAGACATGACACACTTTAGCTTTAAAGTACCATTTGTTTCCTGTACAATAATTAACTATTACAAAACCCTTACACTGACTTTAAAAATGAAGATTGTGGTTTCTAACCTTAACGCTCCATCTACAGTCCTACACAAGCATGTTATTGATACAATAATAAGCAAGATCTTGTGGGATATTTAAAATGATGAACTAAGAACAGCCAGAACATAGAAATCAGTTTAGTACAGGGATTGTGAAAACACAAAGGAAATGACAATTTAAAGGAAAACAAATCTGTTCATATGTTGTTTTTAATATAGCAAAAGAATAATCATCAGTTATTTAATAATTGCAGCTCTGTAAAAAACAGCAGATATACACAAAACCCTTTTTTAGTTCATATCTCTGAGCTTTGATCCATCAGCAGGCTAATTTGATAATTAAAATTTTTAACATAAAAACATATTTACACTTCCAGGAAATATTGCGCGATGTTCATTTTGCACTGGATACGGCCACTCATTTCAGGCGTATTCGGTTTAGTCCAATCAAATGCTCTCTAGAATGAGAAGCCCCTCCCCTGATATCGCCTAGCAATAGCTATAGCATGAGTTGCAGCTTTGATGTAAGAGGCTACTGGTTTTTTAAATAAAAAAAAGACAATTTTACATATCCCAATCCACAGCAACATCCTGTTCCAATAGAGAACTGGTGAGAATGGCGTATTTTTGTAGGCCAATGCCTGCAATCGCGTTTAGCCCTTCTGTTTCCATCCGTCTGAAGAGGTTTTGGTTGTTAAATGCCCTAAACGTCCGTGGATAACACAAGCTAAAGATATTCTAAAACATAAACGCATCCCTTGTGATAAAAAAAAAGAAGCTTTTACTTGTCTGGAATAAGGCGTTTGCTAACAAGTGTCTCAATGGGACTACAGAGGTTGTCAGGGACATTAAACATCATCAGCCGAACAGGTAAACTCATCTACTTTTTCACAGCATCATTGTGTACTGTGTATTCTAACTCAAACTTTCAGGGAAAATGTTTTTAAACAAAGACTGAAAGAGTTGTGGAACACTTTATGCTAGTGATGTTAAAATCATGTGACCACGGTGTCGTTTGTTTATAGCCTACATTTAGCTTTCTACTTCTGGCGATTGTATTTAGACCTCAAAATTCATAATAGTTGTGTTCATTTGTTAAGATTATCACAAAATATGTAAGAATCATTAACTTGTGTCTTATTTTCTTTGATAATCTAACAGCCAATGGGAAAATCCTATTGGGTTTGTGTCAAGGGAACCAGAGTGATGATAACTTACAGGTTGACCAACAAAAATACGTCAAATCTGCAGCCCTCTATATGAAATATCTACACAGAAAGGAAAACTGTTATCAAATGATTATGTAGGGTTGTTAAACAAATCCAGTCCACATTCTTCACTTATGTACAAGTACCTGATTTTGTAAATGGCTTAATCAGAATCCCACCATAATAACAAGGCAAAACCCAGACAGCAACATATAAGATCGGCCCAGATCCGGGCCACATCCGGTACATGTGGATTCAACACGTACCAGATCTGGGACAACACTATGTTGCTGTCTGGGAAAACACGTCATAAACACACTATGCTACAACATCATCCTAAAAGAACACACACCATTCAGTGTCCATGTGTGTTGAAGTGCACTGTGAGTCAAAAGTCACACCCACAGAGAAAGAGTCTTCATGCAGAGTCAGTGATGAGAGGAAAACCTGTCAGGCAGAAAACACACATCAGACAACTCACCCCAAGCCACACATGTGATGGTCAGGGTGCTGTGAATACCTCTTTAACCTCTGAACCACCTCCGTCACCATAGAGTCGGTGATCCCGGGACACTTCTCTTCCGCCAGGAGCATGGCCTGCTTCAGCTCCTCCAACACCGCCGGCTTATACACACCTCGCTTCTGCTTCAGCTGACACAACAACAAACACACTCATCCTGGGACTGATACGCTGAACTGATGCAGCAATGTTAGTTCAGTGTGCACTGATGTTCATTTGTCTGATCTAACCCTAACCCCCACAAAACTACGTTTCCTACATATAAGCCAGCAATGAAGAAAATCAAATTCTTACCTCTGCAAACAATGGGGACATAATAGAGGACATACACTGGGACGGAGACCTTTTTGGACTGTCTGGAACCTAAACAATGAGAGAGAGACAGATGTGTGTGTACTTTGGCTGCAGGAGCTTTTCCTTTCACTTCAGTTATTAGTGATGGGGACGAGACCGCCTATGCCGAGTCCGAGTCAAGACCGAGTGTTTGAAGGGTCGAGTGCGAGTCGAGACCGAGTCCGTTGGTTTTCAAATACAGTCGAGTCCGAGTCAAGACCGAGTCTTTGAAGGGATTTTGTCTCGACATGTCAGTTTTGATATTCATGATTTAATATCACCCCTGTTAATAATCAACAGTTAGGCCTACAACCTAAGCTAGATTGGGAATTGTTTAGAGGAGCAGTCTTAATATGGACAATGCTTTTACTATCATTAAAAAATCCCTACCACATGCATCATCTTCTGCCTATTTTTCTAAAATGCTTCAACAGTGCTGCTCTGTCATCAACATGTTAAGCCCACCCTGACTTTTTTAATCATAGTTAGGACATGCAGAGCAAATCAAAATTTTATAGTGACATGTCTAAATTAGTAGGCTTAGCTACTTTATAACATTTTCCAATATTTCCCCATTTTAAATATTTTGACAATACACTCGAATTCAGTATCTTTTAAAACTTTATTCCCCCATAACACACACAAACATTACATAAACACAATTGCACTGTGTAATGCAGTTAATGACAATACTGACTCTTTTTCTTTTCCGAAAGGATTGTTATCCAACTATGATCGCAATTCGCATTGATCTCTATTGGTAACGACAGAACTTGCGACCATAGTTGGCTAACGAAGCTTTCGGGAAACGCACCCCTGATTGGTTGGCTTTTATGACGTATTGCCTATTTTGAGACAGAACAGAACTTCCAAGATCCAAAGCAATGCTATGTTCTGGGATAAATGCGCTCGTTGTATGTGCGTAGCACCATTTCATGGTATTTTGACCAGCTGAGAAATCGTGAAGAGCTTTCCCAGACAGCAACATAGTGTCGGCCCGAATCCGGGCCACATCTGGTACATGTGGATTCAACACGTACCAGATGTGGGCCGGATCGTAGCGTTCACACTTATTAAAATGAACCGCACTAACAGAGCAAACGCACCACAGTTCGTTTTAATCCAACCAAACATGCCAAGTGTGAACACACCCTATGAAGTCGGTTCTCAAGCTCACACAGGTGCCCTAGCACATTAACCACTGGTGTAAAGAATCACACCAACTATCCACATGATCTACTAACATCTGACAACCACAAACACTATATCTTGTATCATTTGAAAATGCAACAAACATCTTTTGCTTGATAATTGTACCTAATGCTGTCTTTAAAATAAGCAACTCCTGCTTTGATATTTTGTATCTAATGCAAAGACATTGGCACATCTGATTCCTCACCTCACCTTATTTTTGACTCCGTTCTGTTCCCGTTTGGGCTCTTTGTCTATGATAGTGTTGAAGATCCAGTCATCATTCACAGACTCTCCAGATGCTTCACCATCATCTCTGAGAACATGTACACACAATATTTCAATATTTTCTCAGTGAATAAATAATTATTATATTTATATAACTAAATGTGCCAATGTTTATTTCGTGCTTACGAGTCTGAATCTGAGCTGGACTCATCATGGGTCTGTTTTACTTTCCATTTCTTGTACTTGTCTATGAGTTCTGTCAGGTATGATGGCTTCTTGGAATATCGAAGGATAAGTTTGTGTTTCAAAAGCTCTTTAGCTGTTGGCCTCTGGCAGAGACAACACGAACATTGTCTTTTGGTTATTCATTTGGTTATTAGGGGTGGGCTGCTCTGGTCCTCAAGGGTTACTGTCCTGCAGAGTTTAGCTCCAATTCTAATCAAACACACCTATACAAATCTGACCCAGGATTACTTGAAAATTATAGGCAGGTGTGTTTGATTAGTGTTGAAGCACAACTCTGCAGGACAGTGGCCCTCGAGGGACACAGTTGCCAACCCCTGCTATAGATGCAGAAATTTAAAGACTATATAGAGTGTGCGCGTGACGTCACCGTCAGCCGGAGTGACTGCGGTTACGCCCACTGAGTGGCAAAAAGACCGAGCGGCAGCATTTGTTTTCAGCGTGAATGCCGAGAAAAACACATAAAAAAACGGGAAAGAGAAATTGACTGTGCAACTAGGTTTGACAAGAAATCTGAGGTACATTTTTAAGAGGTAAGTTGTAAGGAAACCTATGTCGAGTCCAATCTTTAGTTGAAACTGATAATTGTTTGTTTTACTCGCATTTTTACAGTTTCCCCTATTAAATCCAGTCACACAGCAGCTCTTTTACTACTCAGTCCGGCTGAGGGAGGCATGTTCCGGCAGGACAGTGACGTCAATGCATTCCCTCTATAGCGGGGTTACTCAAATCTGGCCCTATTGGGCCACTGGTCTACAGAGTTTAGCTCTAACCCTAATCAAAGACACCTGAGCATGCTAATCAAGGTCTTAAGAGTTACTAGAACATTACAGGTGGGTGAGATTGATCATGGTTTGAGCTAAACTCTGCAGAGCATTAGCCCTCTAGAGCTTGATTTGAAGAACCCTGCTAAATCAGAGGTGTCCAATCTTGCCCATGGAGGGCCTCTTCCAGCAGAGTTTAGCTCCAACCCTAATTAAATACACCTGAATCAGCTAATCCCTGGGGAATTCCAGGCAGGTCTGTTGGAGCAGGTCAGAGCTAAACTCTGCAGAGAAGATCAGCCCACCCCACCCCAGAAACAAGATTGGATACCCCTGTGATAAATAGTTTGGCAACACTTACAAAGTTGGGGTCTTTATTGAGACAGACATCTACAAACTCTTTGAGAGCTTTATTGCAGTTTCCTTCCAGTGTGGGTGAATTTTCCTTAGGGATGAGAAACAACACCTTCATGGGGTGAAGATCAGAGTGGGGTGGCTCTCCTTTTGCCAGCTCAATTGCAGTTATGCCCAATGACCAGATATCTGCCTGCAAAACACACAAACCTGAATGAGTGATACATTACATGTGGCTGACTATACTATGCTACACGTCATTCTCTTTTGATCTAATACCTGCAACAGACTGTGCAATCCTATAAGATCATTACAAATCACACTGTACGACATGGATCTAATAAACTTGGGTATGACATGTATGTTAGACTGCATGATGATGTCACCTATTGAATCATAGGCTACGACGCAAGTTAGTTTAGAAGAAGAAAACGTCATCAGCATGCGCTAGTGGTAAACAAATAGAGCAAGGTGAATCGCATTTTTGTGGATTTTATGTGCGTTAAAAATGAGGAGGAAGCGAAAGAGGAGAATATGGACGCAGTCATGGCTAGGGAAAAGAGGCCAACTTGGCATATTTTGCAAATGGAGCTTGAGGTAAGTAGTTTTAGTGCCATGTCACGTTGATCAATACACCATTTTATATTGCGTTTTTATTAGCTAGTCAGTAGACATAGGTCCTAGCAGCAAACACACTGTGAGATGATCATGCTAAATTAGTAAACTATCGCAGGCTATCTTTGGTTTGAACCTCTCACTGTAAGACGTAGGACCACGGTTTAGGAGTCACGACCACAGAAATCGCCACAATTGGTCATCTTTCACCTGGGACAGTCCAAAATCGTACAATGTGTACCAGGCATTAGGAGGCGATTCTTGGCCAGAATAAGCTACAAATGAAGCTTATTACTGAAAATCATCATCAAACTCTTAATATCATTAACTATAATAGAAATACAGCTGTAAACACCCTAAAGATGCTCACTAGACCAGCATTTCTTGGCCGTTAGGGTTAGGGCACAAATGTCAATTGCTCTTGCTGAGAACTAATGATCCACAAACAGGCAGAGTTTAGCTTCAACCCCAATCAAACACACATCAACCAACAAATCAATGTGTTCAGGATTACTAGAAAATAACAGGCACATGTGTTGGAGCAGGGTTAAACTGAAGTCTGCAGGAAGGTAGTTCCCTCCATGACCAGGGTTGGCTACCCCTGGTCTAAATGCTAACCCAAGCCTGGCAAGGACTACGACTTTGGGAGGTGCATTACATGGTGAGTGGATCTAACCTTTGAGTCGTACTCTGACTGTTTAATGACCTCTGGTGCCATCCAGAATGGAGTGCCCACAAACGTGTTCCTCTTGATCTGTGTGTCTGTGAGCTGCCCAGCCACACCGAAATCAGCTAGCTTCACATCACCCTGCTCTGACAACAGGACATTGGCAGCTAGAGAAAAACACACATCAGCCATCTTGATTTGAGCTTTCAGAACAGAACAGTTCATCTTGAAACATCTTGAAATGCTGGAGATCATTTATAGACTTCAATAGTAGAAAAAAATGTGCATGTACCACGTCATCATTCACAGGTACCTTTAATATCTCGGTGAATTTTCTTCTCTGAATGTAGGTAATCCAGACCCTTAAGGATCTCTCGGAGGATGGTGGCAATATGATACTCATCAAGAGCTCCTGGTCCCAGCTGTAGATCAAAGAACCTGTTAAGGTGATGATACACGGGGGAACTTTTTGAGCAATATTGCTGGGCAATGCTACCATCAACTGGCAACCAGGTGAGACCAACCAATCTAAAGTATCCAGATAGAAATGTGTTGCCCATTTTCAATGGGAAAGTGCCCAAGCATCATTGGTCAATAAAGTTGCCCCATGTCATCACCTTTAGACCTGTTAGGGCCAATTAACGCCGCACAGACAAACGCCAACAAACTTGTTTGTTGGGTTTTGTCGGATCAGTGTGTTACCCCTGACGGCATATGTTGCCATTGGTCAGGGTTTGTTTTCCTCTGACTGACCATGGTCAATCAGTGTTTTTTTCAGTGTCTGTTGAACATGACAGTTATTTTTCATAAAATAATTAATACGCGTCATAGGTAATACGCGTCATTCACATGCGTATTACCTGTTCAGTCTATAGTGTTTCATCGCCATCTAATGGCCTGGCAGCAGAAAACAGCGTTTTTAGCCGTTTTCGCGGATTCGTGTGAAGGGATCGTTTTGACAATAATTTCGTCTGTACGCGAAAAACTCAAAGGAAAAACTCTCCTATCCTCGTTGTCGTGTAAACGTACCCTAAATCAAAACACCTCAAGCAGCTAATTAAGATGCTCGGGATTAACAATTAATAACAGGCAGGTGTGTTGGAGCAGGGTTGAACTGAAGTCTGCAGGAAGGTAGTCCTCCAGGACTGGGGTTGGGTACACCAGTCCTAGTGATTTTTTTTTTATTATTATAACAAAGTCGCCACACCAACTTGTCATCTGTACTAGATGGATTGTAGAATTGGTTAAAATGAAAACCCATGTCCTAAAACTCAAAATATGTTCTTTAGACCAGTGCTTTCAAACCTTTCCTGGAGAGCCCTCAAAACTGCACATGTTGGACACAACCATTTTGGGTCTTGCAGTCTCTATAATGAGCTGATGAGTTGAATCAGGTATAGTTAGATGAGTGAGACGTCCAAAATGGGCAGTGGTAGAGTGTCACAGTCTTCGTCTCCACCAGTCTGTCCTTGTCTCTTCACTACACTTCCCAGAATCCTCCTTGTCTCCACACCTGAACTCACTCCCTCACTTACCAGCCTGTTCCTCGTTATTATCATCTGTGTCACCTGTCTTCACTTCGTTAGTGTTCATTTGTGCTTGTATTTAGTTCCTTCCTGTTCAGTCTGTCCTTGTCGATCGTTAGTCTTATTTAGTTGTGTTGGATGTGAGTGTAATCCTGCCTGCCTGTTTGTACCTGTGAGAAATACTAGTAAATGTTGGAATTGGAGATTTATGACTCAGCCTCCTTCTTCACCTGCACCACACCATGACATAGAGGGTCTATGGGACTGGTTTAAAAAGCAATCATTTAGACCAGGGGTTTTTGTCAGCTTAACCTGACAAGCTTAACTTGAAAATCTTAAAAAATCTTGTAAATCTTCATTTACATGACAACAGTGTTTTGGGGCCTGAACAACTTTTTGAAAACAGGGTTTAAAGTGCACATTTTTTAATTCAATACCATTATCGTCTCCATGCAAACAAGGCAAATTTGTGAACACGGTAACCTCATGCGCATGCGTATTACATGTTCAGTCAATAGGTGCGTAGTGCTTCTTTGCAAAATTACATCTACTGGCCTGGAATGCATAATACAGCGTTTTTAGTAGTTTTTACAGAGGGGATCATTTTGACAACCTTGTCATCTGTGAAAAGGAAAAACCTTTTCATTTTTAGAACATCATTGTCATGACATGTTCCTGGATCAACATATTTTGTTGATCCTGCAACAACATTCCTGTCCCAAAAAATTAAGTCCTAACCCTATCCCGACCCCTAAACCTAACCCTACCTATAACTCATAATGATAGGTGAATAACACTGATGTAGAAGCACCTAACCCTGGCTGTGAACCTAAACTTGACATAAAGTCTAAACTTTGTCCCTCAAATCTGATTGATTAATTGGAATGTTGTTCCAGGATCAGTAAAGATGTTGATGTTGTACCTGCTGAAATCATGTTCACCGTTTCCCAAACTTGTCCTGGTCTTGATTTGGGAGTCATTACACATTTTGCATGTCTGCCTGTTCCAACAACAGACCTGTTTCAACTCATCAGCTCATTAGTAGAGACTGCAAGACCTAAATTAGGTGTCCGATAGGTGTGTTAACAGCAGACAAATATACAAGTATTTAGATTTATTGTTTTAAATGATACATTTGTGTAAATACCAAGGTGACTATATGAACCATTATTAGTAAAGTTAAGGGAATTAAAATTCTTACCAAATCCAGAGCTGAGCCCCCTCCTAAATATTCCATGATGATCCATAGTTTTGAGTCCTGGAAGAGACATCATATATTTCCAATTTGAACTGACTTATTACTGGTGAGTCTTGTCTTTTTGTCTGATGAGCAGCATTGATTTTTAAAACCTCTAAAACTGTACCAAACCTGTCATTTAAAACTTTATGAAATGTCACTCATCCGTCCAGATGTTCCCATTAGCTGTAAAGGGTATCAGACCACAAAAAGAGATTCAGGAACAATGGGATCCCTGGCACATGGAAGAGCCTCAAGAATGCCAGCCAACCCTTGCATTCTGTTATGGGCCATTTATTTTATGGTGAAACTTTCATGTTTATAGCGATTTTAATCCACATTAGGCCTATTTACATCGACTGATTGAATAGCGATCTGATCGTGAAAAGTGCTACAAAACGCTCTCGAGAAAGAAAACACCTCTTGAGTGAATCAACCAAAGTGTAAGTTATTCTGATGTTCAAACCACAAAATAAAACTTTACTTCTCAGAAACAACATCAGCATACAATAGTTTTAAACAATTAAATTCAAACACTAATTGACATATGGGGTGTTAAAATGAAAATATTAAAACCACTGCTTATCCTTTCTGCAAAGACACAATTATGTTGGAGAGCATTTCAAATCACCAACATGCATGAAGTGATCATCTGCTTGGTCACATAACAACATTACATAATACAGCTTGTCACCACGAGCTGCCTGACACGCATTAAACTGCTCCACAGTAGCAGAGCATGGGACTCACCTTCAGATAAGAGCCATAGTATTTAGTGATGAAGGGGCTGTCACACTGGCTGAGAACTGTAATCTCCTGTTGTATGTCCTCCACTTCATCCTCAGCCTCCTCCAGGTCGATGATCTTGATAGCAACTAGCTGTTGCGTGCGATTGTCAATGCCTTTGAAGACTTCTCCAAAGGACCCCTTCCCGATCCGCTCAAGCTTGGTGAACAGCTTCTCCGGGTCAACATTCAAATTCTACAAAAGAAAGGAAAACAAGTGAGTAGTTTTTTAGTTTAAAACTATTTACGCACGCTTCTTGCCCTTTTACATTAGAGAAAGTCCAACCAACAAAAAGCTAAAACTCAAATAGTGTAAAACAAAAACAAGTGTCTACACATTATCCGTACAACATATCCGTGGACATACAGTTGGCATAGATGTGGAAACATGCAATGCTAGTCAACTCAACCAGCTTGACTTGAACACAAGTTCTCATCTTCATCACACCCTCACACCGATCTCATGTCCATCTCTGGCAATACAACTGAAGAAGAATCTCTTGGTATGCCTGATTTTTGCCCTGGTTTTACTGGCCGTAAACTGAAAGCATCTATGCACACGGCCAATGAAACAAAGGTTCAGCATGAGAGAGGCATTTAAACATTGATTGAGTCACCAGATGTTAATTTTAACAGTCAGAATTCATCACAATGTCATCCAAGTAAGCCTCGTGATTCACATGAAGAGCTGGAACATGGCAGGTGCATTCTGCATTCCCAAAGGCATTACTGCATATCGGAAAAAAAGTTAAATGGAGTTTCAAACACAAACATTTTTGTGGCTCAAGTGGTCAAACTCTTCACCAGTTTGGCAGCATCTAGCCAGTTTTCCATAAGGGGCAATGGGATCTAATGTAGGCAGTAGTCGCTAAATTAATTTTTTGACAGTAAGGAACTCTTTGCACAGGCCAATGACAAGCACATTACGACTCTATAAATGTTAATGCAGCTTGTGCTGAATCAGGACATATACACAACTAATCTAATCTCACACACGTCATTTACAATAACCACAGTCACGGCCTTTCCACTAACAGTGGCACTTTGACCGCCAGATATTATGTGTTATATATTAACAGATATTAACCCTTACAGTGGTAAAACTCAAATTAATTTTCTTATGGAACATTTCTGCTGGTAAAACAATGTTCTATATAAAAAGCCAACATTTACAAATATTAACCTCACACACTTCAAGAGTCTTCCTACAACTGCTTTTTGAAAATTCCCCATTCGCCTGACATCAGGACATGCTGTCAACAAATAACAACCAGAAAACCCTCTTCCACACACAAGCACACAGTACCTTTAGTCCATTAGCTTCCATGACTGTGGCTGCTGCTTCCTGAATATGCCGTTCACACTCATGTGTTAGTCAGTCCATCAGGACTCTTTATCATATGGGTGTAGCGGGGCGGTACCACAGCCGCCCTCTGCCGTAACGGGATCAAAGAGCAGGTTGCCTCTTACAATGTTTAGGAATACAGTCTATATGCAATTATTTCCACAAAACTTAACAATACATGTAAGCTATAAACCTGACATAAAACCAATGGGAAAGTTGTGTCTGCTGCCAAAAGTGATTTCTGTCACAAGTATCACTGTAATCAAATTTATTAAAAAGATCATCATTTACCCTCGTGCTGTTCAAAACCTGTATTACTTTGTATCTTCAGCTTAAAGCTCTAAATAGGACAAAAAAATACGTCATAAATTTGTTATTCACTGACAATCGTTTTTGTCCTTCGTGAAGCTTGGTGAATTGTGGGGTATATTGGTTACATAGTTATTAGAAGGACATCATTGATAAAAATCAATGGGCCAACTTGGGCCACAATACCAAGGTTACATTACACTCCCACTCTTTAGGGCTTTTCACACTTGAAATAGTCAAAACTTGGTCATTGTAAACTTAGGCTTCTCAGAATCATGGGTTATCTTGTTTCACGTTTCACAATGCTACTTGACCTGCAATTTACAACTAATCCTGGGCATTCATAAACTAATGCTTCAAACAAGGGCTTTTCACACTGTGGAAATTGCCTTTCTCATCCACGGATATCGTCTTTCTATACGCTGCTTTTAACCCCAGGTAAAGGAACGTCTCACACTTATATTTTCGAAGCGGGGATAAAATCGTGTTTTAGCCGAGGTTATGAAACCTTGCTGGATTAACTGTTAACCCAGGGTAAATTATGAACAATATGTAATGTGAAACAAGATAACACAGGCTTCCATTTACCCAGGGAGTACAATGACCCAGGGTTAACTTCAAGTGTGAAAAGCCCTCCTGTATGTTCCTACACCCTGGGTTAATGTTCTTATTTGCCTTGTCACTTTGTCAACAGCTGTGGTTTCAGAAGTTTTTTTCCCCCCATTTTTTTTCTCCTTAGGACGTTCAATAAATTCCTCAATAAAGGTTTTACTCCATGAACCAAACCAACCAGTTCTAAGATGAATCACAAACTCAATTACAGCTTTAAAGCATTTCATAAATATTACCAACTTGTAAAGGTTTGTATCAATGATGTACAGGAAAAACTGGAAAAAGGTAAACAAAATTTATTTGTGGTTGTCATTGATTATGAGTATAAACAATTTATCACAAAGTATTTATTTATATATTAAAATATATAAGTAGATAAAAAGTGAAGGGAGACCAACTTCAATACTTCATTCACAGGTGTAGGAGGTTGTGCCGAACTGTTTTACCACAACTTCATTCACTAAATGCATTGATGCGGCTCTAGCTCTGCCGAGGCTTCAGAGCATCCGGGTGCTAAATTATATCAACGACTGGCTTATTATGGCCAAAGAAATATCACTGATCAATGTGATGTATAGTATAATATACACTCACCTAAAGGATTATTAGGAACACCATACTAATACTGTGTTTGACCCCCTTTCGCCTTCAGAACTGCCTTAATTCTACGTGGCATTGATTCAACAAGGTGCTGAAAGCATTCTTTAGAAATGTTGGCCCATATTGATAGGATAGCATCTTGCAGTTGATGGAGATTTGTGGGATGCACATCCAGGGCACGAAGCTCCCGTTCCACCACATCCCAAAGATGCTCTATTGGGTTGAGATCTGGTGACTGTGGAGGCCATTTTAGTACAGTGAACTCATTGTCATGTTCAAGAAACCAATTTGAAATGATTCGAGCTTTGTGACATGGTGCATTATCCTGCTGGAAGTAGCCATCAGAGGATGGGTACATGGTGGCCATAAAGGGATGGACATGGTCAGAAACAATGCTCAGCTAGGCCGTGGCATTTAAACAATGCCCAATTGGCACTAAGGGGCCTAAAGTGTGACAAGAAAACATCCCCCACACCATTACACCACCACAACCAGCCTGCACAGTGGTAACAAGGCATGATGGATCCATGTTCTCATTCTGTTTACGCCAACTTCTGACTCTACCATCTGAATGTCTCAACAGAAATCGAGACTCATCAGACCAGGCAAAATTTTTACAGTCTTCAACTGTCCAATTTTGGTGAGCTCTTGCAAATTGTAGCCTCTTTTTCCTATTTGTAGTGGAGATGAGTGGTACCCGGTGGGGTCTTCTGCTGTTGTAGCCCATCCTGTGCGTGTTGTGGCTTCACAAATGCTTTGCTGCATACCTCGGTTGTAACGAGTGGTTATTTCAGTCAAAGTTGCTCTTCTATCAGCTTGAATCAGTCGGCCCATTCTCCTCTGACCTCTAGCATCAACAAGGCATTTTCGCCCACAGGACTGCCGCATACTGGATGTTTTTCCCTTTTCACACCATTCTTTGTAAACCCTAGAAATGGTTGTGCGTGAAAATCCCAGTAACTGAGCAGATTGTGAAATACTCAGACCGGCCCGTCTGGCACCAACAACCATGCCACGCTCGAAATTGCTTAAATCACCTTTCTTTCCCATTCTGACATTCAGTTTGGAGTTCAGGAGATTGTCTTGACCAGGACCACGCCCCTAAATGCATTGAAGCAACTGCCATGTGATTGGTTGATTAGATAATTGCATTAATGAGAAATTGAACAGGTGTTCCTAATAATCCTTTAGGTGAGTGTATATGTATAATGTATAATATACCCATTCCATGGCACTTCTGGTAAAGAGTAGGGGTGTAACCCCGGTGTCCTGGCCACATTCCACTCAATGGCCCTTACCAATCATGGCCTCCTAATAATCCCCATCCACTGAACTGGCTCTATCTCTCCTATCCACTATAGCTGGTGTGAGTGTGTGTGTGAGCGCACTGGCGCCGTTGTACTGTGGCTGCCGTCGCATCATCCCAGTGGAGGCTCACACTGGTGGTGGATTGAGGAGAGATCCCCTGACATGATTGTAAAGCGCTTTGGGTGTACAGTATACCCACAATGCTTTAAAAGGCAATAGACAGCTAGGTTTTGTAAGTGTCAAGAGAGGTTAAACCCAGAACATTTACACCTCATGATGAATTCTAATGTGTTTTGCAAAGACTCAAAAGACTAAAGTTAGACAGACCTTTGTTTCATAGTTCCTTGTTTATTAGCTTAACAAATCTTCACACACCCTAACCAGACCATTTGCATTTTAAACCATGTCTAAAAATATTATGACAGAAGGTTTTTACTCTACATTTTAAATGAGAATTTTTCATGATACATCTGATTGTTGACTCGGTAGGGTCTTATCAATACAGTAACACTGAATTTGACAACAATGTCTGCTCACAGTCATTTTATTTACATAAATATGGAACTAAAGGGTAGATCTTAACGTATAACAATCTTCATAAATGTATCATAGTATCTTATAGCTTGGTATGTTTGACCTCCTGCTCAATCTTCTGGTCTTTATCTTTGTCCTCCATTTCTAGTGTCTCTTTCTTCTCCTCCTCTGGCTCAAGCCCCTGCTCCCTCCTGATCTGAGCCTCAATCTCAGCTGGGTCAATGTAGGTGTAGAAATACGCCATGACGGAGAAGATGATACTCACAGCCACAAGCAGTGACGCAAACAACAGATACTCTGCCCACTGAGTGAGAAAACACAGACATTGAATAATTCAACACATTTTTTTAATTCTGTCATTATTATTTGTTGTTCGAAATCTGTACACTGTTATTTTTGTCTGTATTATATATTACAGTATTCATACAGCTTGGCTGAATGTGTGTGTGAGGTCATGAGGTCATGCATCACCTGTTTCGGAAGCTTTCCCAGCTCTGCCACAATCAGCACAATAATGTTTCCCACGGCATTAGTGCACAACCAGCCGGCCTGCAACACGGACTTCATGTTCTTTGGAGCCTGAAGACATAGAAGCACGGCTGTTGTTGAGAGGGAAGCGCTCACAGATATTGACTGGAGGATTATCTTGGCAGTCTACAGGATATCATATGCCAAATTAAGCCCTCTATTGACGTATTACAGGTAAAAACACACTTTTAAAGGGAAAGTTCACCCAAAAATGAAAATCAGGGCAAGTAAATGATGACATGATTTTCATTTTTGGGTGAACTATCCCTTTAAAAGTGTGTTTTTAACTGGAATATATATGGCAAATTATATGTTTTTTGATTATAATCAATTTCACTTGAATCTATGTCACAATAAAAAAAGAAAGACCTGTCACTAGTTACACTCCATCCAAACATTAAACATTTTCTAAGACAAAAAGACTGTACTCTAACTCCTAAACACCATTTACAGATGTTGAGCATTGAAGATCACTGGCCACATTATGCGGCAACTAGACCAAGTATTTTAGCACATGGGAATGCTGTATTAACCAATCAATATCCAGGACTGTGTCTATCCATTTAATTACTGATCTTAAGCACCTACTGGAATTACAAAAAAAACTCTTACGGGTGCTTCTCAACTGGTAAAAGTAAAAGGTCAACAAAAGGTCAATAAAAGGTCCAACATATTAAATTTTGTCTTGCACTCCTGTAACTGAAGCTGAATGTCTTTTCCCATGTAACGCATAAGCCATGGTCCCTACGAGGATAAACACCCTCTGGCCCCGCCTTCTACAGTAGCCACGCCCCCAAACTCTCACTATAGGCTGAGCTGGAAAAAGATTGACATCTGAGCAGAAACGCTCCCAGTGCCCGTGAGGCTCAATGTTTACACTGTTGGGCGAGATAAACCCATGAATGGCATACTAATAGATCTCAATAATCATAAAACTGGGTTAAGAGAATGTATCTTACACACTGCACCTTTAAAGACCTAACAGAACATTTGATATCTTTCTACTGTCTATTTGGTAACAGCTGATACTGTATTGGTTAAGGTAATGAGTGATGACTGTTCAGACAGTGTTATTAGTAATTAATCTCATTATAATGTGTAAAATTAAACGTATAACTGTTCATTTTTTCCTGAGCG